ATATATATATATATATATATATACGGTATATGTATTATCTATTTGATATATATTATATTTGATATATTTAGCCTATGTATTTAGGCCTAATATATTGTATGTAAAAAAGGCCTACAAGCGTAACGAAGCTTCTATTATAGAACACCATTGGTGGTTTAGTCGTAAAAATTAATTATATTAAGTATAGTAAAATAATTAATACAATATTTCCTGACATTATGGTGCAATTTTTGATATACCCAATGACTGGGTCGAAATTACCCAACATTCAGCAAAAATTGCCCAAAATTACCCAAGCTTCCTGAAAATGCATTAAAATTTGAAAAAAACCCGTGTTTTTCGCATGTTAGTTTCCCTTTTAGTTCAATTTTAAACCATTTTTTATTGTAATTGTTTGTGTTAAATATTAAAATGAATATTCATGAGGTAATAATACAGATAGAAAATACGCCCTCAGTTGGCCAGGGTTATCTGTAAATCAGTGATCAAATTTTATTATGTAATGCATAAAATTAGGTAAGATCAATGGCAACGCAAATCACAAATAAACAATTCTGAACCCATGTTTATAGCAATTAACACCATTATATATGTCACTATGTATGTCACTAAGTAATCATCGAATGTATAACGAAATCAAGCCCAATTTTGAAAGGTTCAGATCTAGTACTGTTCCCTTTATGGTAAATCTTTTAAACAAACAATGATGAATTGATTTGATCAAGGCTAACTTGTATTTTTTTTTAAACTTTCCCACTTTTTTACTGCCTGTTTTAATCTCCTCTTACCCAAATTTTTAAATTTTTGAAAGAATAATGAAAATTAATATGGCAATTTATAATTGTTGCTGAGATTATTTTAATTTTTTTATTTTTATTTTTTAGCTATCTTTTTTTCTGCTTTTTTAATGTATTTTATCTGTGTTTTTAAAACTTTGTGTGCTGTATTTTGTTCAATTTTTTCTCTTCTGTACTTTTTAATAACAATTTTATCTGTATATATTGTAAACTTCTCGCAATTCAGTATTTTACTGCCAGTTGAAGTTAATAAAGAAATCTGAATCTGATCTGAATCATATAAAATGTTATGTGCACTTCGTTGAGTTTTGCTTACTTGAATGGACCATGGAGGAATTATTTCCTCCATGAATGGACTGAAATATACTTTGTTACTTCTTAATTCTTCCTCTATGACAAAAATATTAAATTTTCTTAATAAAAATAAAATACCCAAGGATTTGAACCGAATACCAAAGAACACAAGACCAAGTCAAAATACCCAAGATCTTGGGTAAATACCCAAGCAGTGGTCACACTGTATGCAGCACTCAAAAAAATAATTTGCTTGAATACGACGGGCGATTCCATTATTTTCATGAGGGTATGAGCACTCCGGGATACAACAGGCGATTCCATTATTTTCTTGGGGTATGTTGCAGCTTTCCCCGACGGAAAGGGTGATGGGGGTGGAATGGCTTCTCATGCTTCAGACAGATACAATTATTAGCAATGTTGAGAAAGTGCAAGATGTTTGCCAGTTGGGAGATTCTGTATGTGGACTCATTTATGTATCTTATGCTCTATATTAGTTAGAGTTCACAGTTTGCATTTCGGTTGGAGCAAAGCAATTCCATTCAATTGCTTTGATTTGAGCGATGTTTTAACTTTTATATATTTTTTTCTTTAGAGAGGCAACTGACCGAGTATGGGGTGTAAAATTGGTTTCTCGTAAAATGTTGTCTGTAGCTTCTACAAAATAATGATGATCTCAATTAACTATTGTTACTAGACGACACTGGAACAGAATTAAAGTTCGACCTCAGATAAATTAGACCTTTTGAGCTCTATTGTGTAAGATAACCGACCTTTTTGGCAGCGGTTGTTAAAAACGCATGGTTAGGCATATTCTGCCCCACCATGACAAAAGGAAGCAATTGTTGTTTGCATTGCATTGAGTAATTAAGGAATATGGAGCATGTTGATTTTGTCCCCTGCTTCCTTTTCTGGTGGTTTTTACTGTATTTTTAGTCTCTTACTTCCTTTTTGTGTTGCTAATTACTTGTTAATTAGTGGGATTTGAGCATACTCAAATATATCAATATGTTCCAAATTATTTGTTCGTTGATAGCGACTAAAAAACTTGTTTTTTTGAAAAATTGTCAGTTACTTCCTTTTGTCATGGTGGGGCAGTATTATTTTTTGCACAAAAGATCCGGTCAGAACCATTTCAATAAAGTACTGACAACTTCGTGTCGCTCGATCACTTTCAATAACACTCCCTTTGACATTATATGGCTTTCATCTTAAGAACTTTTACGGGTTTTTTTCCATTGACCCAAACTGCGACACTGTACAAGTCTTACCGTCTCCTTTGATTTCGAAACTAATCCTCATAGCAAAGTTGTCTCAGCATTAACCAACGCATAAAAGGACGGAAAAACTAGTGCAGGTAAGCATTTTTTTTTATATAATATGTAAAATTCCACGACATTTATAGTTAACTTGTTTCCCAAACATAGCAGAAGTATCGCTTTTAAAACGTCTAATTAAGGTTAAAGTTTTATTTCATTTCATTTCATATTCATTATCATATATTTTATTTCATATTATTTCATTTTGTTATTTTATTTTATTTTAACTACATCCAAGAGCAGTATTGCCCATTACAGGATGTTTTACACATACAATATATATCAATACAAAATATACAATAAATAATAAAGGTAACAAAAAACAAAAAAAAATGGACAAATCTCTGGTAGTTCTTAGCTTAATTGAAAGAATTAGGCCTATATTGAATGAGCAAATTTGGTTTTGAACGTAAAAAATACTGTTAAAAAATATATCAATAGTGGTATCGTTACGAGTTATAGTATTGTGGTTATAGCGGAGTCTATGAATAAAACCATTTTAGTAGCATTGCCTCGGCTATAGGGCACAGAGACTAGGTCAGTGTTAAGTGAATTTGGTCTATGCATTTTCAAAGAAAGAAAGTAAAAGAGGAAATTGTAAAAATCGAGTTTAAACTTAAAAGTGACCATAACCATATCGAATGCCCTTTTAGTGTGGAGTGGTAAGATATGCATAGGAGCACCAACGTTGTTATAATAAATATTATAAATTTGGATCAAACTCGTTCTATGCGATTTGATTGAGAAATGCATATAGAATTATAAATCGTAGACGAAAAGTCAAAGATTGGTCTAACAAGAGAAGTATAAAGATAAGGCTTGGTGTTACTATCGAGATATTTACAGCGCCGCAAAAACATGCCCAGCATCCTATTGCCTTTAGATACAATATAGTCAACATTTTTGTCAAGATTAAGCTTAAATCTCAAAAAAAAAAAAATCAAGATATTTTATAACAACCTTTCAATTATAGCACCATTTTATGCTGTAATCATAATCAAATAACAGTTTTTTAAGCGGTAATGTAGGATCCTGACACTTGTGAATTGAAAGACATTTTCCAAGTAGAAGACCAATTATACAGCATTTCCTGATCTTGTAATAAATGAGAATCATTTAAGTTATTGACGATGCGGTAAAATTTTATGTCATCGGCAATCAGAAGGCAATGCGAAGAAGTAAAGATATCAGGAACATCATTCAACAAATATTGTGAACAACAAATGTACTAATATGGAGTTTGTGGGACTCCGGATGTGAAAGGAAGCCAGGTAGAAGTAAATCCATTATAGGTTACATGTTGATAACGATTATTAAGGTAACTTATTGAATCCAGGAGAGAAGAGATCCACAAATGCCAAACTTCTTGACTTTGTACATTAGTAGACCCCGTCTAACGCTTTTGCGTAGTCAGTACACATGCCACAGTACTGACATTTTGCACCAAATGCTTCATAGGCAACAGTCAGCATCATCGCAAGATTGGTCTCAAACGAGGTACAAAGTCATGCTTGAAAGATGGATCAGTTTGCTTATAATTACTTTTAACCCAGGACCAAAAGCGGTTAGGTTTTTCATTCAGCTTTCTTTGTGACAAAGACGAAACATAATTTGAGTACTTACATTGTTGTTTAAATACCTACGAGCATTTTAAAAATCATCGCAATGAAATTTCGTTTGGTCCTGTTTACGTTTGCTTTCTTTAGCCTTTAAAGCTTTGAGAAAGTCTTTATCAAACCAGGGTGTTGGCCGTTTTATGGTAGTGATCGTAGAACCACATCTTTGATAGCAGCTAAGACAAGATTATAAAATTAACATCATTATAACATCGTAAAACATTCCATAATATACAGCTAAAATTATTGCACATATCAACAATTGGTTTTTATAAAAATTAGAAATAGTCGTATGACAATGTCGGAAACATAAATCAAAGCCAAACTCAACATGAAGAGAATCATGGTCAGAATTACATTAGTACAGTCCGTCCTATTGTAGAATATGCAGTTCCTGTGTGGAATTGTGGACTTACACAACTTTGGGATTCCCGCATCGAGCGAGTCCAAAAGAGGGCATGTAGAATTATCCTGGGTATTAATTTTTTGTCGTATGACGACGCACACTAGGTGCAATACTAAATTTACTATACCTCGTTGTAGAACGAAAAGATATCAAAACAGCCCATTACCATACCTTGTTAACTTAATTAACTCCAATGATTAATAATTAATAACTATCTTCTCCCCCTGGGGTCTGGTGCATGCTATTGCCCTTTTTGCGGTTCAGTGATTCCCCCTCCCCCTTGCCTTCCTTGTTGGTCCCTGTGCAATTTATTCTATGTATTTTTCTATATTGTAATTTTTCTCTGATGTTTGTGATTTTCTCATTTGTTATGTTTCTTGATATTTTTAATGACAATCCTTAATTACAGTTATAATAATAAGGATAATAAATAATAATGACAATAATATTGATTATAATATTCTTAATTGTAACGATAATGATTATGTTTTGACCTTGGTGCAATCTTTTTTCTCTTTTTGATGTTTTTGTTATGATGTCCTTTTTGATTTGTATTATTTTTCTTAACTTTAATAATAATGACAATTATAATAATTATAATAATAATGACAAATTTTGATCTTTGTGCAATCCTTTTTTTCTCTTTTTTTGATCTACTTGTTATGATGTTTTTTGATCTTTTTTATATTAGTATTCATAACTAAATAAATTAATAGTAATAATAATAACAATAATTATAATAATGACAAATTGGATAGAATATCGATCCTTATGCAATATTTTTCTCTTTTTTGATGTGCTTGTTTTCTTATCTTTGCTGTTTGATTTTTTAATGGTTTTAATTGTTAACATAATTCGCAATTCAGCCTTTTGGCTGCTATGTTTTATGTCTTAATTTGAATTTTGAATAAATATACCATTTTGAATTGAAAAAAAAAAAAAAAAAAAAGAATCAGGGAAACAATGTAATTTCACTGTTCCCTTTTCAGAATCAAATATTGTGTCCCCCAACAGAAACATTGTAATTAAGTTTAATATTATTATCAACATTAAACTCATTTTTTTTCAGTTGATGTCATAAATTTGTGTAGATTTTAATATAGACATGGGCATATAACCAGTGATCATCGAAGGCTGAACACATTACCTGTCTATGTATATTAATTTATTCATTTTAATTTAAATTTCATACTTTTCATAGTCAATAAGCCGAGCGAGACCCTATATATTTACCACACAAATATAAACGTACCTAGTGCCAATGATATTCGTCAAAACTAACATAGGGTTTTTTGTTTATCGTGGGACACTGTTAATTATAAGTCAATTAAGCCAGTCCATGGACAGATATAAATAAGTAAAGAAAGAGAGCAATAAGAGAACAAAAACAGACATGTAAATATTTTATACATAGACATCAATGGAAGTTATCAATATACAAATCTATTAGTACTGTACTGCCCCACCATGAAAAAAGGAAGCAACTGTTGTTTGCATTGCATTGAGTAATTAAGGAATATGGAGCATGTTGATTTTGTCACCTGCTTCCTATTCTGGTGGTTTTTACTGTATTTTTAGTCTCTTACTTCCTTTTTGTGTTGCTAATTACTTGTTAATTAGTGGGATTTGAGCACACTCAAATATATCAATATGTTCCAAATTATTTGTTCGTTGATAGCGACTAGAAAACTTGTTTTTTGAAAAATTGTCAGTTACTTCCTTTTGTCATGGTGGGGCAGTGTAGACATCCCACAGAAGGCATTTTCGTTGTTCTGAGAGTGCTTTTTCCTAGACGGAGGTGAGGTGACGAATATATCATCGCTTGGCCATTGATCCTTCATTCCACTGTTGTAACCAGCTTGCCAAAAAAACCTAGTGGTTTTGCGTTTTTTTTTTTTAACGCCCGCTATATCATAAACCAGAGGTGAGCATGATTTTTTCTTGAAAAATGTCCGCAGTTATGACCGTACCCTAATTATTATAAAATTTGCAGTTTATGACGGTTTGTAAAATAATTTTAATGACAATAAAATTTTTACTGAGTATCATCCATTGGATTCCTTTGTGGCGGGTGTGAAAGTGTTTGCTTTGAGTCAGTATAGGCACTGTCTCTTATACACATCTAGATGTGTATAAGAGACAGATATATATATATATATATATATACGGTATATGTATTATCTATTTGATATATATTATATTTGATATATTTAGCCTATGTATTTAGGCCTAATATATTGTATGTAAAAAAGGCCTACAAGCGTAACGAAGCTTCTATTATAGAACACCATTGGTGGTTTAGTCGTAAAAATTAATGATATTAAGTATAGTAAAATAATTAATACAATATTCCCTGACATGGTGCCTGTTCCAGTTATCGTAGGCACATCTTTGCTGAGGGTTTTTTGTCAAAGTGACTGAGTACGAACTATCTATTTTCAATGACCCCTAGCAAATAGGTTATAGTAGTAACGTTGACCTTCTTTGTCATTTATTTCCTGTCCACTTTGCAATACACGATTTTCACACAATTTCTGTTCAATCGATTGCTAGTCTGTTAATAATGGGAGAAAATCCGTTCTTAAGTACTACGGTAGTCAATTGTGCAATAAATGTTAATAATTTTTGTGAACACAAATGACACACTTATTCTAAAGGAAAGAAAAAGTTGTGTTGTTTATATATCTTTACTATACTGAATACTCAAAACATATAACAGGTTGAGCGAACGAATCACTCAGTTGATGCCATAATTACCTCGGCCAAGGAGGATGTATTCACCCCTCTCTGTCTGTCTGTCTGTCTTTTAGCAATATTACGCAAAACCTAAGGAATGGATCACCATAAAATTTTGTGGAAAGGTACATGATAATCAAGACTAGCTACAAATATAATTTCTTCAAATGAACCTTATATTGCAATTACACTTATAAAATCAATAGAAATTTAATTATAACAACATATGTTGTGTTTCCAGTATTATTTCATGATGCAATGTTATTGACCAATATTTGTTCTTTAAATATTGAGCTTTCTATGAGAAAGAGTAGCATGAATCGGTAACGGTATGGATTAGAATTCTACATGAAAGTACACTAAAAATAAGAAAAAAATAAATCCACATGGTAAAGAGTCGTCAAAATTGACAAGTAAGACAGGCAGTAGACCTATACCGATGTCTATTCTAAGGATTCAGGTGAAAAAATTGTGGATAAATGTTAGTAATTATTGATTAAAAGGTTCAAAATATAAAGTTGAATGATATTTTTCTTATTTTTGGACTGCAGTTGTTGTGATAAATAATTTTTTAAAAATCACTCCCTTAATAGGGGTTAAATATGCCTGTAGTGTATTGATTTGACCATTTGGCGAACCCAGAATGTGTCCCCATCCCCTTCAAAAGGGGTGACCCCTTGGGAGTTGGCCGTAGTGCTAAGAGATAATATTGCCATTCGTTTCATAGAGGTCCCCTTAATAGGCGTTCCCCTGAATAGGGGTGCCCAAAAGAATTGTTTCTATACTGTAGTCCTCATTTACGGAATTTTGATTAACATCTAGCCTGCATTGTTTTAACTGAAACTATTATATTTCCAACTTTAAGGTTTATCACGATGCTGTCTTATAACGATGCCAAGCAGTTTCTTGAAAAGATTCTTCAAATCGAGGATTTTGAGACGAAGTTCCGAGAAAACAAACTGGAACTTTTACGAGACATTCTCCGCCGGTATATTCACGCCGAACCGTTTCAAGGAATCTCAATCATGAGTACAAAACCAGAAGACCGCCATCTATTGACATTTGAAGAAATCAAACAGGATATGTTTGCAAGAAGAGGTGGTCTCTGCTATGCGAACAATCGATTTATTAACGTTTTACTAAACACAATTGGTTATGATGTATACCATATCGGTTGCACTGTTTTAAATAATCACAACAACCATTTAAGTAATATAGCTCGCGATCTTACAAAACCAGGAGACCTGCATCTAGTTGATGCCGGCATGGCATTTCCTTCTTGGGATCCGATACCTCTAGACTTTGAAGATGAATCCCCTGTTTACCACGTAGGATTTCTCTATTTTAAATTTGTTCGTAAAGATAACACCATACTACGATTACATAAACACGATAAGCAGTATGAGTTCCCCATCAACATCGACAGCAAAGCATGGCATCAATTTTGGGAGATGACAACGGAGCCCCTTGCTATAGAAAGTTTTCATCCGAAGATGACCGATATTTACACGATACCTGGCGCACACGAGGTTCCCTTTCTCGAACACCTAACATGTGTCGCGTTTGCTGAAGACAAATTAATAGCGATCAAAGATTCCACATTTTTGTTCGAGAATAATGATCATCAATTGGAAGTGAGAGACATAAATACGCGCGCTGAACTTGTTTCGACTTTCTCAGCTTACTTCCCTCAATTCCCAATGGACATATTTGAGGCTGCTATTGACGTTGCAGTCTCTAAAATTTGACAAAAACAATTTTGAAGATAAAACCTTGCAATAACATACATATGCATATATATTCAAATTAAGTTTTTGCTGCTTAGAGGGAAAACAGATATAGTGCATAGATGAAATAAATAATAATACAGTGTGCTCAAATACCATAAAACCTCGTATTGAAGCCCAATGGGCTTAATCTCGAGAAGAAGCCCATCCCGAATTGAAGCCCCTCTATAGTTTGCAAAATTAGCCTCCAAAAGAAGTCCATGGGCTTCTTTTGAAGATAGCATAGACTTCGTTTTGAGACAGTACAGTACAACAATGTACATGAATTTCAAAGAAACAAAATAAATTCAAAACACGCTTGGTTTATACAGTGGTTTAGGTAATAGTCCCAGAGCTTCAAATCGAGGTTTTATGGTTGTATGTAGTGTAATAGTATTAAGGTTCAATGGTATTAACTTGCATAACCATTGGAATCGACCCTTCACCTGATAAATGCCTTAAATTGGTTTGACAGTTTTAATGTCAACTTGAGTATACAGATAATCTAATAATATAACTGGACATTGTATAACTTTACCCTAGTCAATTGGACTTGGCCTTTCTCACACTATGAATCTATGATTGTCAGTTTTGAGCCTAAGCTCCGAAGTTTGTGATACATCTTAATTAGCAGTTTTTTGGTAAACAAGTTACTAAATCATAGAGAAAGACTTTCTCTCTATGATCCAATCAGAAACTCTAAAAGTATGGGGTGACTTACTTGAGACACACCCCCATTACCTAAAGTATAATAGGCAAACACCCCCATATCACTGAGTAGTCAGTCGTTAGTAGTTAGATTCAATTTAGTAGTTCGGAGTACACAGAAGAAAAGTACAGAGCTGAGCTGACTCCACTCAAAAAGGGTTCTCTAACATCTGAAACCTGGAGTTTAGCTGATTGTAACCAACGTACAGTTTGTGTGAATAAAAGTTTGCAGTGTACTAAAAGGAACTGTTCCTACTACACATTAAAAGGCCACCCAATTAACCAGTATTTAACATGGAAGACGCACTAAACGATACCCGAATTGCGGTTAAGCAGATTGTTTGTCCTTTTTGAATGACGTGACTCTTGGAACTGAATTAAAATTTTTCTCAAATACCGCAACTAACTAACAAGAAGAATTTAAAACCATGAGAAATAAAACAAAACAACAGGCATCCACATTACAGGAAGAGAATTGAAACGAAAAAAATAATCGGATTTGTGACAAGCTGACAAAAAAACACCATGTTCGGATTCGAGACAAGCCGACATATGACAAAGATTTTAGGATTCGAGACAAGCCGACAGATGACAAACTTATTAGGATTCGAGACAAGCCGACAGATGACCAAAAGTTATTAGGATTCGAGACAAGCCGACTTCACTTGGACTTCACCCCATGACGATGGAAAACGCTCTATACATTTGAACTTTAGGCCAACGTTAAACTTTGAACATTTAACATTTAACTTTGAACATTTAGATTCTTTACTGAACTTTTGTTTGCTTGGAATTTGCATTTTGTTTATCAAGAATGAAGTAAATGGGTAAGTTGAATACATTGTTGCATTCCATCATTGTGAGACATTGTGTGAGAAAGAGTTTGTTTATATTTTTATCCCTCATTAAAAATTGGTTTTAATTTAATAATTAATTTTTTAATTAATTTGATTTTATTACATCAACCACGTTTTTTTGTAGTGCGCAATTTTTTTTCAAACAAGTAAAGGTCAAAATAGCAAAATTTTGAACATCAATACAAGCACATTTTAATCGATACCTGATTGATTTAGATATCAAAACACAAGTATAAACATCAATAATATAGCAATTATTCAGCACAGAGGTTAACGGACTGTTGATTTTGCAGAATCACACATGTATACCAATTTGTACAACCAATTTCAATTGCTCATAGCCAGGCAATTTTTGAGGTTATTAAAGCTAAATGATAATTGATATAAATAAATTCCTTTATTAATTTAATTAATTTACTGGCCAGAAATTTTTTAAATTATAAAATGTTTAATTGATGTGACTTGAACGTGTAGAGGAAAAAAAAATCTTCGATTATAAATTGTGATGATAACCATTCACTTACTAATTGCACCATTCGTAAACGCACTTCAAAATTCGAGAAAATTGAATTTTATTTACTTATTCCCAAATTAATTTATCGTGTAAACATGGAATTATACTGCAATCTTGAAATAAATATTGATACGAACATTGAATTTAAATATTGAGAACTTGAAATTATATTGTGTGAATACACAGCGTAATGATTTAAGTACGAATTATATTGACATGATGATTTAAATTGTGTTTATAATTTTATGATGAGGAATACAACAATTTTTTTTATTATTTAAATGTAATGAAGCGATTAATGAATTATTGAATAATCCAAGCTTATATTGCAAGTTACACTAAATGAACAAGCTTTAGTACTTGTTGAGTAATGCATGCAAGTTTAAAGAAAGAAATGTAATATGAGGATAAATGCGTCAGTTTAAATGAATACTGAATATAAGTACACATGAGTACAAATAATTCAAATTTACATAATTTTACTTGTCATGAAATGCTTAGGATAAATGTATGATAAAAGGTATACTAATAAATGATTTATATGAAATACGTGATGATAATAAACGATAACGAGTTAAAGTGCATATGCGTATTGTTAGTAAACACGACTAGATGAATTCAAGTCTACGTGTAATTGAAGCAATTGATTTTTTAGGAAACAAGTAAGTAAATAATGTTCAGTTAAATAACAGTTAATAAGTAAATAATAAATGATTTATATGAAATACGTGATGATAAGAAACGATAACGAGTTAAAGTGCATATGTGTATTGCTAGTAAACACGACTAGATGAATTCAAGTCTACGTGTAATAGAAGCAATTGATTTTTTAGGAAATAAGTAAGTAAATAATGTTCAGTTAAATAACAGTTAATTTAAGTTCCTCCTCATAAAGTTATTTTACTTTTAAATATTTTTATATCACGTCGGATATGGCAAGCCTAGACGTTTAAATACAATCTAATGTTGAATCAATGACTAAGACACATAAAAAAAACGTATTAGATTGATTAACCTCGAAAATCAAAAATGTTATTCATTTGTATTTTTTAAGAAAAGAATGGAGAGAAAGAGAGAGTGAATATGAGTAAATGATGGAAATTGACACGTATTCATCTTGCACCACTTGTATTATATGCTATGATTTTTTATGTTTAACGATTAATTTTTTTTAATGAATTGTTATATTGCTTTATGCCTACTACACATTGTAGTACATTTTACCTTTATGTTATGATGTTAAAAAAAAAAAATAATTGAAAGGGATGTAATGTAGTATTAAGGTTCAATGGTATTAACTTGCATAACCATTGGAATCGATACCCTTCACCTGATAAATGCCTTAAATTGGTTTGACAGTTTTAATGGTCAACTTGAGTATACAGATAATCTAACAATATAACTGGACATTGTATAACTTTACCCTAGTCAGTTGGACTTGGCCTTTCTCACACTATGAATCTATGATTGTCAGTTTTGAGCCTAAGCTCTGAAGTTTGTGATACATCTTAATTAGCAGTTTTTTGGTAAACAAGTTACTAAATCATAGAGAAAGAATTTCTCAATCAGAAACTCTAAAGTATGGGGTGACTTACTTGAGACACACCCCCATTACCTAAAGTATAATAGGCAAACACCCCCATATCACTGAGTCAGTAGTCAGTAGTCAGTCGTTAGATTCAATTTAGTAGTTAGGAGTACACAGAAGAAAAGTACAGAGCTGAGCTGACTCCACTCAAAAAGGGTTCTCTAACATCTGAAACCTGGAGTTTAGCTGATTGTAACCAACGTACAGTTTGTATCATCATCATCATCATCATCATCATCATCATTATTATTATTATTATTATTATACTTATTATTGTTGTAAATAATATATGATAGTAATAATAATGATAATAATAATAATAATACATTATATATACATATTATACATATATTATATATTATATCATATATTACATTATTATATATACATATATTATATATACGTTATATAATAAATATAATAATAATAATAATAATAATAATAATAATAATAATTATTATTATTATTATTATTATACAGTACTTTACAAGTGGTAATTATTATTTGAGTAAAAATCAACTATACTTCTGTATTCTGACTTCAATTCATCACGTACGTTTGTAAATGGCAGAAGCAGTTGCTCCTTTCCAAATTGCTTTTAGGATAGCAGGTAGGGGAACGATCCAGTGAACAATCAACTGGTATTGGTGGTGGAAATGTACGAAATACAATTTCTTTAGGACCTATATCAATTGTAAATGTATAAATTCAATTATGATTTATGATATTGATGAATAAATGTAGTTGCTACAAAAGAAAATGGAGGTGACCATGGGATGTGCAAAGCAAAGAGTCAGTGGCGATATATCATTTTCGTTTCTCTTCTCTCTCGTTCATTAATCATAAAGGATATTTTTACCAACTTCTGACGATAGTTTTTCATTTTAGTAGAGAGAACTGACCCGACAACATGCAGTTCGGATTAATTATCGTATTTCGCGATCATAAGCTAAGATCGGGACTATGCTCTAGATGCTTCAATACTGGGGCAGATGCAGAATTTGTCGGTAATGGGTGCATGAAAGTTCACAGCACCTCAGCCCCACCACGTGGTTGGGGATGAGGTGGGAAATTTTGAGAATATGGACCTCTAGGTACTCAGAAAGTGCACCCTCGTACCTTAAAAATCGGTAATTCATATCAATAAATGCAATTTAGGGTGTGTGATCGCACAGTCTGCGTCCCCTGCATTTGCCCCAGCAATATTACTATATCCCCCAAATAAAGATCGTAACCCAAGAGTTGGCCACATTGAAATTTAGTCAATGTTACATGCTGGACTAAATATATAATCAGTTCTAGCCCGTGCTTTCTTTTGTTTTGCACTTTTTTTACGCGGTACTAGGCTATCTATACTGTTCATAAAAACGGACATTTCAGTGCATACTACGATCGTTACGCTTACTTTACGGTACGGAGCCGCGCCCTATCCAGCCGAATATTTAGCATCGACCAGGACCTCCCCCTAAATTCACAGGTACCTACGTGCACGCACAGACTGCTTACAAAGAGATCCTGTCATGGTTGGGCTTGTAAAGGGTGCCTCACGATATGCGATTGAAAAAGAGAGCTTGAAAGGGTGGTGGGAGCATTGTTGAACTGACACTTTGGTATTTATTGTTGTAATGCTTTGAATAAAATCTACTAGTACATTTTTTTTAGCGTGGCGATAATAATATTTTAATCGTGGTGCAATCTGCTTATTTTGCCTAAGAGTTGCGGTCATTTCGTTTTTTCGCCCAAGTATAGCTGGCGAGACCCCTATATATAATTTCAGTAGGAAAAAAATCTGACAAAAAGCAGCTTAAATGTTAACAAGAAAATATTAAATATATATTTTACGTATGGTGTCAACTGTTTAATTAATTAATTATTTATTGTGTACGGTATACATTAACTGATTTTTGTTAATGATATGATTATTGAGTATGCATTTGTAAATATAACCCGTAATGTAAATTGTAAAGGTTAATTGCAATTTGGATTTTCTACTGTACATATACAGAGTATTTTATATATTTTTGCTATTACCGTTATTATTTTGCTATTACCTCCGCCGAAAGAAGTTATGTAGGCCTACTTACCGCTGTCTGTCAGCAAGATTACGCAAATAAATAGATTATCATGAAATTTAGTGGAATGGTAAATAATAATCGAAGAAAGCGACCATTCAATTTTTGGAAAAAAGGTCAAAGGACAAGGTCAAATCACGGAAATGCGATTTTTTACCATCGAGCATAAAAGAAAATAATGGAATCGCCCTTCGTATTCATGCACAGGCCAGTGGTATGACATGAGCACTCAAGAAAAATGTACAGTACTTGAAAACGACGGGCGATTCCATTATTTCCACGAGGGTATTCTGTAAAACTCAAGAAAATAAAGTGCCGGAATACGACGGGTGATTCCATTATTTGCATGGGGTATGTTGCAATTCGTCCATCATACACGACCTGCGTATTGTTGGTATTTAGACACAGACAGAGGTATGCACTCTTTGGAGCTAGTATTTTAATGTAAATGAGGGGCAACTGCAGACTCCTTTTAATGTATATTCGCTTACTCTGCCCCTGACCACCCTTTTCATCTTCGTTTTGTATCGCACTCTTTATTATTTTTGATTGAATAAAAAAATTAATTCGGCATATAATATGCACTGCTGTCCTCATTAATTAGCTCCAGGCCGCCGAAAGCGGTCGCGGTTCCCGGGGCATCTTAGCTGCCCTTGTCCATTGGTTGTTAGTCTGTTGGCCGCCTGGCGCCCCAGTGGGATCGAGGGTCAAATCCCTGGTGTGTGCCCCCCCCCCCCACCTCGGAAACTATGGCATTTTAATGGATTAGAGGACTAATTCAATTGATTATAGAGTGCCTAAAGTGCCTAATTTTACAGGCCATAAAAAAACAAAGTACAGAAACAAGAAAAGTAAAAGATATCCTTCCTTTTATTCAAACGTGCTGGAAAGATTTATAACATAGGTATGAAAGTTTACAGTGGTGACAAGGACTTTCACAATGAACGGTCTATCTACCTCAGCCCAACCATAGTGGCTGGAGTAGGAAAATGTATGTTTATGGCACCTCTGGACGGCCGAAATGGCACTTTTAGACTTAAATTTGATTAGAATTTTCTTTTTTCTCAATTTTTGTTAAATTTTGAAAGATTTGAGAGTTGGGGGCCGGGTCCCCCTTAAATCCGCCACTGATTTAATATATTAATTAAGAGTTTATTTGGCAACCCATTCTCTATCAGGTCTATTTTCTAACTTGTGTGTATATTGACGATGTCCAGGGTCAAAGGCTTTTATAATTATAAATTAATAACGTAAATAATTTACAATTTGATACATTGTAAACATAAACACTAGAATAGTCATGAAAATATTAATGAAAAAGAATTAGATATTAATTACCAATCGATAAACGGTCAGCTTTATTTACAATTCTCGTGGGGAAAACACATGAATGGTACTGGGTAAATGTATACCTTTAATATTTTTTTAAAAATTATTTTATTTTATTTATTTACCTGGTTATCGCGGGCGCCGGGGCACTTGTCCCGGGTACCCCGGCCTCTCGGCGCCACTGACTACTCCTAACCCACAACAGCATTTCCTCCCCCATTTTTCTCACAAGTTAATCCAACTATCTAAAAATCAACCAACCAACCTCTCTACGTCCATTCGAAATAAAGCCTTGCAAATCACTAATAAATACAATATAATGAAATCTGCACGTTCATTAAGTCTCCACACCTGGTCAAACTATGAAGCATGTGGAAATAAGCTTTTAACAAAATACTGAGTCAAATGTATGTGGATTAGGGATACATTCAACAAGCAGGCTGTATGAGTTTCTATGTAAATCTATCTGACCATGACCATAAAAAAAAAACCCAAAATTGCATTTTAATCAAACGAATGGATATTGAGTACTTAAAGGGATCACACGTGAATGCTCATTAAATCCCATAAGCCTTCCAAGTTCCAAGGTAGGGTTAAGATGCCTTTATATAATACGCTTACTAGCGCAGTGATTCAGAATGCACGGGCCTGCATGTCTATGTCTACGATACGATTGCTGAAGTGAGAAACCATCTTTGATATTTGGATGTCCATTTAGAAACTGATACATTAAGTTGACGGTAAGTAGATACAAGACCTATGCTTATTTTGTTAGCCTGCTAAATAAATATGCCTTATAGGTTCTATTTATTATCTCAAAGCTGAACGGCATGCAGCTAAAGTTTACGGATCAGTGGTGATATAACTGTAAGATGTAAGCCTATGAATATATTTACACTTTTGAAATCTTTTCCCTTAGGTTTTAATAAGAATAGACCTTTATGTTTTTAGGATAATACAGGCTATAAGGCCTATTAAAAAATGATAAATAGGCCCCATTGATATAAAACCATGTAGGGTCATGCTCTTAAAATATTGTATAGTGTACTACGCTCTTACAATGCTCTTAAATATAGTATATAATGTTTACATAATATAATAATGATATTATTCGGCTACTATAGATTAGTTGTTATTGTATTGGTAAACGCGCGAATATCCAGAATCAGGACCAAACCATGAAAAACATTTCCACAAGTGATATTTTGTCACCCTGGTTAAATATATAAATAAATAAATAAATAAATAAATATAAATAAATACAAATAAATACAAATAAATACAAATAAATACAAATAAATACAAATAAATACAAATAAATACAAATAAATATAAATAAATATAAATAAATACAATACAAATACAATACAAATACAATACAAATACAATACAAATACAATACAAATACAATACAAATACAATACAAATACAATACAATTCGAAATAAAGCCTTGCAAATCACTAATAAATACAATATAATGAAATCTGCACGTTCATTAAGTCTCCACACCTGGTCAAACTATGAAGCATGTGGAAATAAGCTTTTAACAAAATACTGAGTCAAATGTATGTGGATTAGGGATACATTCAACAAGCAGGTTGCATGAGTTTCTATGTAAATCTATCTGACCATGACCATAAAAAATAAAACCCCAAAATTGCATTTTAATCAAACGAATGGACATTGAGTACTTAAAGGGATCACACAGGAATGCTCATTAAATCCCATAAGCCTTCCAAATTTCAAGGTAGGGTTAAGAGGCCTTTTTATAATACGCTTACGCATTTGACATGCTTTATTAGCGCAGTGATTCAGAATGCACGGGCCTGCATGTCTATGTCTACGATACGATTGCTGAAGTGAGAAACCATCTTTGATATTTGGATGTCCATTTAGAAACTGTGATACATTAAGTTGACGGTAAGTAGATACAAGACCTATGCTTATTTTGTTAGCCTGCTAAATAAATATGCCTTATAGGTTCTATTTATTATCTCAAAGCTGAACGGCATGCAGCTAAAGTTTACGGATCAGTGGTGATATAACTGTAAGATGTAAGCCTATGAATATATTTACACTTTTGAAATCTTTTCCCTTAGGTTTTAATAAGAATAGACCTTTATGTTTTTAGGATAATACAGGCTATAAGGCCTATTAAAAAATGATAAATAGGCCCCATTGATATAAAACCATGTAGGGTCATGCTCTTAAAATATTGTATAGTGTACTACGCTCTTACAATGCTCTTAAATGTAGTATATAATGTTTACATAATATAATAATGATATTATTAGGCTACTATAGATTAGTTGTTATTGTATTGGTAAACGCGCGAATATCCAAGATCAGGACCAAACCATGAAAACATTTCCACAAGTGATATTTTGTCACCCTGGATAAATATATTATTAAATAAATAAATATATAAATCAAATAATGGTAGAAACATTGCTATAATATAAAAAGAACAATTATATATTATGTAATGTAGTAGTTGGCCTATATATCGTATTGGGCATATGCCTACCCTATCAATGAGAGAACTTATTCCATTATGTTAGACTACTTCTAGTATACTTATTTGAGTAAGAGGACAAAAAAAAAAATCAAAAACAAAAAACACAAAACAATTTTACACTAAAACGAATCTACAAATATTGAACGAAAACAAAAACAAAAAGCATATTTGAGGTATAATTTAAGTTAGTATAGTACAGTGGAGCAGGGTAATATTCAGTAGGTGGAAAAAAAGACCACTGAAGAGAGTGTCCTGATACAAAGGCGTATGATCAATAAATAATAGAATACATAATATAAAGTGATCATGTTAACCTCAAATGTGAGCCTCCGAAAATATTAGTCAGTTAAATTTAAAATCATAAGTGATGAATAATAATATATGTAGGCCTATAATGAATGTATAGGAATGTCTACATCAGTTTAGCACATACTACTGTATAATCCAGTTTTCCTATGTTTAACTAACTGCTGTCAACATTACAAACGTTATTGGCTGACAGTAATTGTTCTTAATTTAAAAGGGAGGCTTAATTTGTTTTTATTTACAAAGGTCTTTCTAGAAATATTATGTTAAAGACGTAGCAATATTAACGAAGGCAGCCTTTTCGAGAGTACTAGTTGATACTACCAGCAACAATACGCTCTAGTTTACTTTAGCACCACTCTCTGAGGGGGTAAATTGTTTGAGGAAGTGTCCTTGGTTGGGTTGTAGAAGCGGCACCACTGTGATCAAATGTTGGTTTGAATTCCAAATGAGGCACTTTTTCAAACATTTGAATATTAATTTTTCGTTGATAAGCTGTGCCCGATGCAATCTCTACACCATTTTTTTGTTCCATTGTTCATATATATTATTATTATTTGAATATTCACATACATAATCCACAGTGCACTTAGTTGCATTGATTTACTATAGGCCTATATAAAATATATAGGCCTATGTATATAAATCATATATCATTTATTATCATCTTCTATTTTCATCATCATATATGATGATGATCATGCATGCCACGTTCATGATTTTGTTATTTAATGATTTTAATTTCTTTCAGAAAAATGTTAGCCCTATCGGACCGTGAAGTTAAAGAGTTTTTAGAGGATGTCCTGTGCATTGAAGACGCAGAACAAAAGTTCAAACTAAACAAAAAAAATCTACTCAGGGAAATACTTTACCGTTTTCTGCACGTTGAGCCATTTCAAAACATAGGCACCTTAAGTACTAAGCCAGAGGAGCGTCACCTACCAACATTTGATGAAATTAAAAAGGATTTATTCAGAAAGAGAGGTGGCCGTTGTTATTCAGCCAATCAATTCATGAAAATATTACTAGAAAAAATTGGTTATGATGTCTACCATACCGGGTGTTTAATATTAAAAACTAAAAACAACCATCTGTGTACCCTTGTGCGTGATCTCACCAAACCGGGTGATCTACACCTAGCAGATGTCGGTATAGCACACCCAACATGGGACCCAATACCGTTGAATTTCGAAATTGAATCCCCCGTTTATCACGTAGGATTTCTCTACTTCAAGTTTGTACGTAATGGTGATAAAATAACACGACTGCATAAACATGATAAGAGGTATGAGTTTCCAGTCAACATTAATAGCAAAGAATGGCACGAATTTATGGATATGCCAATCACCCCCTGTGAGGTAGATTACATGCAACCAGTAATGACGGAGATGTACACCGTACCAGGAGCCCACAACTGCCCGTTTCTGATATCACTAACATGCGTCATATTTAAGAACGAGAAACTAGTGGCGTTTAAAGATTCAACTTTCTTGTACGAGAATGATGATCATCAGTTGGATGTTGAGCGGATAACCACGCGTGAAAAGTTTGTTTCCACAATGTTAACTTATTTTCCTCAGTTCTCACTCGAGATAGAGGCTGCCTTGGATGCGTGTAGCTCTATTAAATTTGACTAAAATGATTATTTAATCAACAGACACTAATTAAAAAAAAAAAACAAAAAAAAACATGACTACATTTTTAGGAACTTGATTAGTATAAGTTTTAAGGATAATAATAAGTTTTAAGAATAATAATTAAAGGGCACTTCACGGGCCATGCCTAGAAAATGATCACTCCAAATCCTCATTCAACATACTACAGATCGACGACTGAAACATCCCAGATAATCTTTCCTGGCAACATTAATTCAAATAAAAACGTGCTACAAGTTTATTCTGCACTTTTACCACTTCTTCAAGCAACAAGACGTGTGTCACAACAAGAGATAAACCTAGACATTTGAATGAAGCAGGATCAAGTTGAAAAGAAGTGTCCAATGATGGATGGACATTAGTCCTGCATAGGCCTACTTCGTATGATTTTAAATATTCGTTAGTTTTGGTTAACTTTTAATTTCATTTTGTGTATATATGGTGGTGGCATGGTGTGGTATACTACTGTCACTTAACTTTTATTTGTCTTCCGTTATTTTAGTTTAAGATCACATTTAAGGTAATATTACGTTTACTATACATTACTCGAACTGAATTTTGATTTTAGTTTAACCAGGGAACAATGAAATTTAACTGTTCCCTAGTTTAACTATGTTTTGTAAACTTTGCTTTGCTTATATATCTTACATTAATTATTTTGATTGCACCTTTCATTGAGAAGTGTGCCATTGATGAAAAAGTGTAGTTCCTAATTACAATATTATCATTCGCCAAACGCTTCAGCTAATCAGATTGTAACATATCAAACATGTGCTAATTACAAGGCACTCTTTTTAATGACCATCATTTTGTTAAGTGAAAGACCGTGCACAAATCAGTATATCATGTCCAATCTATAGATTTCTTTTACATTTAGGCTTTTTTGTCGTGTCATCTTTTTGAAATGTCTAGTATTAAGTCTGGCAAGGCCAGTTTGATTATGCAATGCTATTGTATATAGGTGTATATGTGCGAATTTATGCATATTTACTATTATTTTTGTGATTTGCTTATTTTAAATACTGTACAGTTAATTACACTTAGTATACATCTTCGTGGTTAGTATAAAGAGAACTAGAGCGTCGCTCCATTAAAAGTGCCTGCCTCCCCTATATGCCTAAATACAGAATTCACGAAGGCAGCGATTTTTTCTTCATGCTTGAGGGTGGGTTTCAAAGAAACTTCACAGACGCCATATACAGTCGTCAATCAACATTTGGTTGCTCAACTCAAAAAGGGAACTCGTTAGAAAATGAAGAATAAAATCTATTTCATAATGATGATAATAGGTCAATTTATAAGACGCAAATAAACAAGGTATCTAAGCACCAAATAATAATACTAATAATAATAATGATGACGATGACGATGTGATGATGATATTGCAGCGTTCGTAAAATATTTGTCACTGGTGCTGGGAACAGTCACAAACTTGGGGTGGGGGCAGGCACCCCCAGTAGAAAAAGTGGGTGGGCCAATGTGGGTGGTCCAATGGTCCCCTGGCCACCCTCCCCCTCCGCCGGGGGAGGGGGGTGTTCAACCTGGATTTGGTGGTTGATATGATGTTGTTGAAGCCATCAAATTCAGGCAAAATAAGTATTCAGAATAATAGTTTCTTTGAAGCCCCAAAAAGAAATTGTTTAACGAAATTTCAGCTACATTATTCTTCATCTGTAATAATTTCTGGACGTGTTTATTATTCTTTTGCTATTAGAAATGTATTTACGGTGGTACACTTGTGCTTAATAATTGAATTTCCTCTTGTGGTGTTCAACAGTGGTGTATTGGATGATTTGGTGCCTAACTTATAGAATCATGCCTAGGGTTGCTTAGAAATTGCTTGTTCTATTGTACTTTAATTGTACTTGGTTTGACAGCATGTTCGTTGTTCTGTCAAAAGATGATTGTTGTTCTCAGTTTTCAATGGCTGGTGAAACGTTGCATATTTGCACTAGGTGTTTGGGTTATGGTGATAAAGAGCGGGTGCGTCTTACCTATATGTCAAGGGTATGGCCTGCTTTTTTCACGAGTAGAGTTAGTAAAATAATTTCAAAATAAACTATTACAACTGTTACCGTACTAAAGATTTGTCTGATCTTATTGTACATGCATTTAAAATTTATATTGAGAATTTTTGTTTGTTTTCTCATTTTCCGTGCCTTCATATTTATCAGCACGTTTTCTTGTTTGTTGATCCCATGATAAAATATTTTACTTCATTGATTCCAGCGTACCCATATGAATTATACGATGAATAACATAACACAAAGGTAAAGACAAAGAAGACCCTTTGTTGTTCATTCAGGGGTAACGTTTAACGTCCTTTTCAACACACAAAACATCAACCAGTTATTTGGGGAGGAAATTGATCAACGCACACAATATGCATATTATACAATTAACATTTATTTTACGTTTACGTAATCTATATATACGTAGAAATTACTTCATGTCATCCATCGGGTGCATGTAATAACGGTGAGCAATCAATTTGCAAATGTGAATATAGTGAATTTGATGTGATAAGGTGAATTTTTCCGGTCGTGTGCTTAATCAGTTACCTGTTAGAATTCCTACGAACACAACATATCTGTAAGCACATTTTCACTTTTTGATCAATCACTATTAAAAATTAATAATGACTACAGTATTCACTTACTTTACAGACATCCAACCCATACACGCATTATCTAATAACGGCGGAAACCGTACTCGAATAAAGTAACAGTTAATTAAAGATAGTATGGTGTATATGCTACCAACCAAAAAATTCCTCAGTAGTTCCCATCAAGGTATTTCTACAAACAATAGGCCTAATACGACCTTCATGTTCTCTTCTCTGTTCGAGCACTATTTTACATCATCATAATAATAATAAGGTTGTGTTTAAAGGCCAACAATATTTATTATTGTTTGATAGCTAAAGGTTAATTTCCTGGATAATTTATCAATAATTATATGTAAAATGTATGGATATATATATATATATATATATATATATATATATATATTTTTTTTTTTTTTTTTTTTGTGTGTTTTTTATATTTATTTTTTTTTTTATTTTTATATAC